AATCAACCTCAAGAGCAAGATTATGTTCTCTGACAACCTTCCTTTGGACACTTGTTTTTATGGCCTCTATTTGGCATTGTTGGACATGGAGATGTAACTTTCTTTTTATACAAATTTATAAATAAACCCAATTTTAGACATGTATTTATAAAAAAACCCAAGCACTATTTAAACATAGAAACACACCCAAAATCAACCCCAAAGTTAACTTTTTGGGTGTGTTTATAAATGGGTTTTGAGTGTGTGTAATGATGGGTTTTGGGTGTGTTTATATGTTTAAATAGTGCTTGGGTTTTTTTATAATTTCAACCCCCATTTTGGGTGTTTTAGTGAAACTCCCTTATTTTTAACCCTGGCTATAAGCCTCCTCCCAACCTCCATCATACTATTATGCAATTTTCTAGTGAATGGCTTGATGCCAATAATGTGGTTAATGCTAAGCCTACTAGAGAGGTCATCCAAGTCCATTGGAGTCCTACTCTTGGCAACTTCAAATTGAAAGCGGATGGCAACTGTAAAACAGATTCTTGGAAGATTTGTGCTGGTGGTTTGCTAAGGAGCTCTAATGGAACATGGATCTATGAGTTCTTTGCCAATATTGGGATTGGAAATATTAATGAGGCTGAGCTATGGAGTCTCTTTAGAGGTTTGCATATGGCATGGGCCAAGGCCAAGCCCAGAGTAGGGATGTGTGCCTCTTGATAGTTAGGTGTACTCTGTTAATTTTAAGATTCATTTAACACCACCCAATTTTCACATGTAGCAAAGCAATCATTCTACAAGGAATACCGGTCACCTTAAATTTTTTGACTTGCATACTTGCACATTGGAAGCTAGACGCTTGTAAGAATTCTATAGTGAGCGCCTTATATATGACTCTTAGGTGAAGACCCTATTTCTTAACAGTTTGATCAAATTGGTTACCTGTTGGATCATGAGTTAACCGTTGAATCAAATTGGCTAAAATGATCCAATTGTTAAAAGATAGGACCTCACCTAAGGGCCATATATAAGGCCCTCACTATAGAACGACTCACTTGAGTATTAAAAGACACAACAAACTGTAGATGGGGCTCAGTTCACTAAGCTAACAAAACAAACTTTAAAATTAACTCGCAATTCCCACCCAATCAAGTTGAATTATAGTAAACTGGATATCCGTAAATGTTTCAACAAACAAGTACCATGTATCCCGATCAAGTCGACACTGGTTCAAAATGATCCACAGAAATCATGAGAAAAATTCAGTACCAACACCATATGCATGAACCATTCAGGGACCGATTAAACCCTCATCGGCAAAGTAAACACAAGCATCCAAAGACATTTTCAAAGCAAGCGCATGTACCTGCTGGCAATATCCACCATCAAATGAGAGTGACATCACGCTGCTGTTAGTGGGCAGCTTCTCTCGAGCTTGAGAGCAACTCCCATCCAATTACTATCGCAGGACAAGTTTTGAGGCAGTTGGATTTGCGCGGGGTGGCATTTTGTCAAAAGCATGAACCACTTGGGGATTTCGATCCCTGGGAACATAATTTGAATCTCGGACAGAGTCCAGTCCAGTCCCGTTTTTCGTATTGCTCATGGTGAAGAGATATTTGACAGAGAGTTTGTTTCCTGGCTCACTTCCTGACTCGGCAAGGTTATCTAGTTTATCCAATCTTCCTCAAGTGAAGGGATATTCATTAAAATACTCAAAGAGGGTATATAAGCTGTGCAACGTGGAGTCTGGACAAGTCCCTGTGAATCTTGCTGGTACACCATGTGGAGCCCACATATTCGAACTTGAACACCAGAGCTGTAGTCGGTTGTAAAGTAAGTGCGAATCCAGCTTGATTGAGTGAACCCTTCCGGGAACGTTGCCCGTCAAAGGTAAATACCCACAAGTAGATGGTTACTGATCGAACCATAATGGAAAATATGCTCGATACTCGACACTTCTGTTTCAAGCAGACAAGAATGCTTACAACCCCGATTTTAAGTTGTTTATGCTGGTGGTCCACAGCAGCTGATGAACACAGAGCAAATCCCATCCACTTCTTCCACATCATGCACAGACAAGCTAGTGTCTGGAACATAACCCATTTACTTCAACATCACAGACAAGTTCAGGTTGAACCACGCCGGGCTTCCACTTACTGAAAAATAATACACCTTACTCATATGGTTTAGTCTCTACAGGAAATGAAATGAAGAAAAGCCACTGATCAGTAAATGAAGAAAAGCCACTGAGCAGCAGCCACCTGAAATGGGTAAATAACGTCAGGAAAAACAAATTCAGTACACGATTTAAGGCATGCGCTCTTACCTAAATAATATCAGGAGATAATCTAGAAAAGCAAAGCATTTTATATATATAAACTTGCAACCTACACACACGTGATTTGAAATTGGAAAAAGGTAGTTGGACACAGTACCATTTGTTTTTGCAACTGCTGCAGCACAAACACAAAATGGCATCAACTTCTGCAACATTGTTTTCTTAATAGAAGACCTGGGGTTCTGAAGTTTGGCAGGCTACCGCTAACTCGAATTGAAGGGAAGAGAACTCTACTGTAGTTTGAATGATAGCTGAAACAGCTTTTGTGTACTATATCTGGCTATGGAGAAGCACTAGATGATTCACCAAAATTTCCAAGTCTGAGGATGATCAGACTCAACTACTCACATGAAGATCCTTCCTTACAGCAATTTCAAAGAAAAAGATGAAACAACAGAGCATGTTTTAACGCTTAAGTGGCAACTTCCTGTTCAATTTTTTATTTCATATGTATCTGTGTTCTTTGTAGGCTGGTACAGCTCTTGTTCTGTTTGGTATATAATTTCAAACACTGGGAAAGAAACCATAAAGAACATGGGAACAGTATGTTGCAATGTAACCATTATACTGTTACGTGCCTCGATAGATTCTCATGCCAAGCTGTGGCATGATCGTTGGGGAAAATGTGAACAATAGGCTAAGAGCTCTGTCAGTCAAATTTATGATAAAAGAGAGAAGCACCAGTCTACACCTAATCTGAGGACTTAACACAATGAAGTTAAAAACTGTAAGAAATTCCTATCGGCTTCAAGATGATTAGCTGATTTGGCTTTTCATACAAGACCCCTAAAAATTAATCCTGACTCCACCCAAAGCTGTCAAATGAAACCCCTAAAGAAAGATAAAAACACATAAATTATATACACTCTAAACCAATTTGGCAGTTGCTAAAATTCTCTGAATATTCACTTTATGAATTCCTACGTCACAAAGATTGCAAACAAGTGTAACTAACATGATAGGATGCTGAATAATAACTGTATGAAGAGAACATGCATTAATATACATGTGTAGAGCAGAGTGTTGCAGATGCCAAAATGAAAAGCACCAATGCATCTGGATGTTATTCGACACCTTTCAAATTCCCAGACTTATAACTATATCAACCACATAATATAGAGGTCGATACCCGACTTAGATCTAAGAACCATCTACTCTATCATATAAAGTAAGAACCTCCTAAGGTGTCACAGATTTTCACTTTATCGCTCTTTTATGACTAGTGGTAGTTACCTAATTTACACAAAACTACGGTATAAAGAATGAAGGTTAGTTAGTCATCCAATAAAAATTAACCAGCCAAGTCCTACAATAAAATCTGTCTCCGCATGTGTAGGACTAGATTTGACTAAATTTGTATTACACTGGTCACCTTCCCTTATAGAACTTATTACTGATGGTCCAAGTCACATGCATTTCTCCTACTGATTGGCTGTCATTAAGTTTTACCAGTTATTTTATTGAGAACATAATTACACAATATATCCTCACTGTGCTACTTTATACTAACTCATTGCAACATGTTAAGCTGACAAACAAAGCCCCCAAGTCATAGACCTCGCAGACAGGAAACATATCTCACAAGGAACGAAGACGTTAAGTATCTAAGCTGTATATAATATATATACATAGAACCACCACAACAGAACAGGAAAAACAGAGAGAGACTTACAATTATGGCTCGCCCAAATGCACCAGCACTCACGTAAGCCCATGTTCCAGGAAGCATCCCCAACCAACTGCAAGGAAATTATAGATTGACTTAGAACCAGAGAGTGAAACATGTTACAAAAATATTACGCATGTTTAAATTAGTTCATGATATTAAAATCAATTACTTCTGAAGATAAACTACTAGACATGAGTCATGACCATCATACCATCAGCCCTTTGTTTTAATTTGTTTTCCCATAGACCAGTGCAATCATGCTCAACTTATCAACTAACTTCTACTTGATATTTTAGCCCTACATCTTTTATATGAGACACCAAAGGGCACACTTAATAATCTTTACATAATTGAAATGGAGCAAAAGTATTTACATCATGAGAATTAGTGGAAACTGCAACTGAAAATAGTACGAAAACAATTAATTTCCCTATAACTTTCAGTTCTATTACTTCAACTGACAATATTGTATTGTCATACGTTGGGATTATTCAATCTAAAAAGGATAAAAAGCAGTTGCAAAAATAAAGACCTTGAACTAGCTCATATATTGGCTCTAATCACAAACTTAACAACAGGGTTAAAGCTTGGGTTAAAATACTTGTCTCATTAAAAAGCCCAAGAGCCTGACAAATTGACCTGAGCTCAAACAGGTCCTAAATCCAGCTCAACCCATCTGATAGCCCTAGCTCTCAACCTCAAGAGCAGCCAATTAGAACATTTGTCTAAGAACAACCAGCTTGTGAAGTAAGAACTTTAACTAAGAGAACAAGAAGAAGGGCAGCAAACCTTCCCAACACATATGAAATAGTTCCCCAAAGAAAAAGGAAGCGAAGGGCTCCAGCGAAGGAGAATGACAGCTCCAAATCCGTTTTCTCCAATAGCCTTATGCAGTCTGCCTCAAAGTCGTCAAATTTTCCCAGACTACAATGACAATGAGATAAGCAAAAATTCCAAATGACAAGACATACAATCAAAAGTAAATCCCATGAAGACCTGCAAAGCTTATATCGAATTTGCATAATTCCAAGCACAATTAACAAATTCCAAGAAGAAAAATAAGTAAATCTTAAACACTAATTAACAATTTCAAGGTCCTTAATTGGAACCTGAAAATTACAGCCTGCACTGGTACAAAAACACATGTAAACCATCAATTTCAACCCCCTCTTTCCTTTTGTCAAGTGCTAAAATCCAAAACCATTCTTACAATTTTTTCAATTTCCTACAGCTATTTTAAAGTGCATGCGTACAAAACAATCTTTAGAATTGCTGATCAACGACAACTCCAACAAACATAAAGTACTTCGAGGAAATTATCAAAACGTTTTCGGATCGCATGATCAACCTCTTCAACCGTAGGAGGGTTGCAATTTTTGACATCCCTGAAGTGCTGATTCAAGTTCCTCAGGAATCGCAGCAGACTAACAGCATCATCGTCGTAAGATGAAGGATTATAGTCAAAAACTTCCTTCATAAAAGCTTCTTTCAATCCACCACTTTTCCAAGAAGCAAATACGGCAAAATCAGCTTTTTTCAAGACAGACAGCACTTTCAATGGAGCAGTAGGATCTTTCCTATCATTGTTGACCGTGTCAATCCACTCCAACCTGTCCTTGGAACTCTTCAAAAACGGATGGCCAAGCAATTTGGAAACAAATTTTTCATACCTAAAAACATGAAAACAATTCATCCATCCATCAAAATCCATCATATAGCATAATTAATAACAAAAAAATTATGCATTTATCAAAACAAAAAAATTAACTCACTTCCAAATATGCATATAATCAAAAAACTTCAAAAACCTATCAGCTTCGATCCATTCTTTGCTAAGGTCAAAAGCCGTTGCTTTTTTCTTCGATGAGGGAGTTTTTGGTGCTAGCAATGACTCGAACAAATACCCTAACATGATTTTGATGTCATTAAAATCATCCATTTTCAACTTGTCTTGATCTGATTGATTTTTTCCCTCCAGTGAACCACCAAAATTAATAAGCTTCAAACACCTCTCACCCATTACATAATTTTCCTTCTTCGTCAAGCTCCCATGAAAGAATCCTTTGCCATGAACGCGAGTCACAGCATTAATCAATTGACTACAACATAAACAAAAAGGTATAAATTAGATAACATAAACATAGCAAAACAAAAACTCTTGACAAAGTTAAAAAAATTACCTTATCGTTTCTATCCAATAAGGATGAAGACAATCTCTTGCATTCTTAATGGGGAGTTTGCTACTCTCAGTATAGGAAGAATTCGTATCACGCACCACTCTTCTAACCCAATCATATAAAGACTCGTCATAGTGATCATAACAGACGGTCCAAACACCCTTCACCAACTCTTCATTACAAGGTAAACTCCTAAAACACTTCTGCTTACAAAACACATAGAACCATGGGCGCAAAATCCCCTCATCAGATATCCTTGAAGAATATTTAAAAGCACGTCTAGCAGTCTCCTCCTTATCCACTTTAACAAATTTAACATGTGTGATCTCACCATCTTTCTCATAGTATAAACCCCCTTTGTATACCTTATCTTTACTATTATTCCCCACTACGAAGTTAAGTTTATAATAACATACTCGAGCGCCAACAACCTCAATAACAGAATTATTGTTCTCGTGTTCACCTCTGATGTACTCAAAAAAACTCTGTTGGATTTCCATCTACAGCAAAATTACAAACAATATATGAAAAAATATAAAAGACTAATAGCATGGGATTGGGCATCCAATCAAACATATTTTTATGAAAACACATATTGCATGAAATCAGGAAAACACATAAACCACATGAAATTAGGAAAACACAAACTAAGAAATTTGGAAAAGAAATCCAACTAGATTTTCGAAAACTAGAGAACCAAGTAAACTAACAAATAAATTAGGGTTTAAGGGCATGTCATGAATTAATCTTAACAAATAAATTAGATTTGGCAATCCTCGCAGGTCTCGGAGATACCACTTCTATCCGAGAAGCAACCTATAAATAACTATCTATTCAACCTGAAACAAGACTTAAATAACTCATTCTCGGTTAGGACTCGTTCACATGACCATCTTATCACTTCTCAAAGGATATAACTGCCTCAGAAGGCTCACAGTCGAACGAGGTGTCAAACTGCCTATACTTGGTCAACAGGGCCCGCAGGCCCCACAACCTCCAATCACCAAACTGAGAGTCCCTAAAGGTTCCAATCCGGGACTACGTTTTACGATCCGTCAAATCCTATACGATCCTAGAATTACCTAGATCAACATATAAGAAATTTACTATGATCCAACGATTCCAACGTGTTGAACCCGGAAATCGGACAATAGGCGAGATCTGTTCGGAGTTCAAACGTTATCCGAATTGAAATCCGCGAGTACCTACATGCTCGTGAGGACCAAAAGATCATTTCAGAACACAATGCTAGGCCCCCATGCTGCCCACGCGCCGCCACAAGCGCCGGCAGTGCGTGGGTGGCATGATTAATTTCCGGCGGCCGAAAATACTCCAAACCGCCGGCCCAAACTCCTATCCTAGGTGTAACACCCTATTAGGAACCACTTTTGTTCTTGGACCTACCCCAAAAACTGACCGGAAGTGGCCGAAATCGGAGGTCGAAAACAGGCAGATTTTCAATCGCTTATTTACCCTCCAAAACTCAGAAATTTCTCCTATCCAACACATCCAGCAACTAGAGCATCTCGAGAGGATGAGAAAGCATACCTGAATAGCAAGATTTGGTGCCCGAAATCGTTCGAACGACTGATGGAAAGTTTTGACAAAAACCGGCGACTTTTCTTGACTTTCCGGCGAGCGCAGAGGGCGGCAAGGGCTGGAAATGGTCGGGGCTGGAAGGGGAACTCACGGCGGTCCTTTTGGGACCGGTGCCACCCAAAGTGGTGGCCGGTGTTGGGCGGTGGCCGGCCAAACGTGGACGGCTGTTTCCAAAATAAAAAGGGGGCTGCTGTCGTGCCAAACCAGAGGGAGGAAGAAAAATAAATAGAACCCGATACTGTAGCACCGACTGTAGCGGCACTGTTGCTACAGTAACAAATTTTAAAATTCCCATTATGTCCTTTTCGTTTCTAGATCTTTTCCCCTTCCTTACAGCTCGGAATCAGGCGTGCTGCATGTCCACGAACTCATATCGTCGAGCTCTACGCAATGGTACCACCCAAATCCCCAAATTCCTTCCTGAATAAAAAATCAACTTTTAAACCTAATAAAATATTCCAATGGTATTCTAGTTCTTTCCTTTAATAAAATAATAATTAAAATTTAATTAAGGATTGGGTTGTTACATAAACTACATGAAATTAGGAAAACACATAAACCACATGAAATTGGGAAAACACATAAACTAAGAAATTTGGAAAAGAAATCAAACTAGATTTTCGAAAGCTAGAGAACCAAGTAAACTAATAAATAAATTAGGGTTTAGGGGGCATGTCATGAATTTATCCTAACAAATAAATTAGATTTTGATTTTAGCTTCTTTTTTTTTATATAACTCATAACAACAATTAAAGGCATGTCATGAATTTATCAAACATGCAAACGACAAATGTGGTGTGTGCCGGTGCGATGTCAATCATGAACAGAGATGTCTCTTATATATGCCAAAATAACTTGGTCACTAATGGGGAAACACAAGAAAGTGAAGTCACATAACGGCCGAGATACAGCAAACGCTCACATATAGTAAATCGGCCCATTAATCGTTGTCTGACCTCACACAATGGGCTGGGAGATGCAGCAATCTCAGCCCAGTATTAAACCGGTCCAAATGCGGGCCTGAGAAGAAGAATTTGGTTATATTTTTTTTTTATGAGATGCGAATAAAAGAAAAGGCAAAGCATAGCATAGCAAAGATTTGAGCATTTCTTGACTCAATTCACATAAATTTATACCTGTTATTAGAATTAGGAAGCAGCAAAGACATAGCTCTGTGGATCGAAATCGTCAGCAGCATCATAATTGTCGAGAACAGATCTGAAGGGTGCATATTCAGATCTGGACTTCTTGTTGTTGTTGTTGTTGCTCTTCTCTCGCAAGGCATGATGGTATAGAGTTTTGCGGTCTTGTGTAGAAATTTCTGTAAGGATGATGGTTTAGAGTTTTGAGGTCCTCTGCAGAAATTTCTATAAGGGGTAAGGGAGGAGGAAATGCCTCTAATTCTGATGCACTTCGGTTGTGGTTTAAAAGTGGCTGACAATATCTACCGATCCAATTTATACAGGTGGAACAGAGAGAACAAACCTAACTTCAATCGAAATGATTCCCCAAACTAAGTATCCTAACCGTTGATATAAAACACCATCCAACGGCTCTGGAGGATCACAACCATTTATCTCCACTTCTAGCGCCGTTGAAAATTGACGGACCCCTAAATCTACGGTCCATTTAAAAGCCAAATACATCCGTGCCAGTCAGTCAGTGAATAGAAAGCCGAATTCACCGCGCGCCTAACATTATTATACAAATAGTAATTATTCCGCGCATGTAAATACTAGATAGTAAATACAAATCAAAGCGACCCCCAAATTGGGAAACTGAATATTATTATTATTCACACATTTTTTCCCCTTTATTACAAAACAAAAATAACTCAATATTAAATTACTCCCTCAATTCACTCACGCCCACGCGTGTTCTCTCCAAATATGAAGGGTCTCAAGTTCCAATTTTCCTTAACTATTTATTATATAATATATAAATTAAATAAAAATCCAATCTTAATCTTAAATTACTTCTCTCCAAATATTCAAAATAACCCCAAATAGGGAACTCATCGTGACCATATATTATTCTAGATCCATGATTTACGCAAATTCAACAATTAACCAATGATTTGAATTGCTTTCTTAATCCCCAAATTGAGAATTCATCATGACCAAATCCCCAAGTTGAAATATTAAAGGATTCTAATATTAATGATTAAGTTGATATCCTAATATTAATAATTAAGTTGATTGTACCATTCATGTGGGCGGAGATTTGAAATTGCTAGGCATCCAAGGAATATTTATGTAAACACACCTCTTCAATCCCTTGTACTCGTAGTTAAATTTATTTATTGTATTTGTCTTCCCAAAATTCAAATTTTCTTCGAATCCCCCTCCCCTCCTTATAGTTCAAATTTTTTCTTTAGCTATTTAGGAAAAAGCAATCCAATTTTAAATTACCTCCTTATTGCAGGTGTTGAATCCAAAATTGAATGACTTGCTGTTTTTTTTGGGTCGAAATTGCAATTCATTGAATGACTTGCTGTTTTGGCAGAATTGAATTAGGTTCTTAATACACATCAAATTACTTCCTTAATACACATCCCCAAACTGGGAACTCATCGTTACCACCATATATTGTTACATTAAAGCCAAATTGACCGTAGAGTTCGAGTCCATCATTTAAGCAAATCCAACAACTAATGTTCTCCCATTAAAAGCCGAATTCACGTTCATGTAATCACATTATTAATTTCAGTCAATGATTTTAGAAATTCAACAAATAAATTGAAATATTCAAGGAATCTAATATTAGTAATTATTCCAAAACGAAAATGAAGGGGGGTCCAAAATTGCCTTCATTTTATTCCCGTTGTTATTTGAAGCGTATGAATCACATACTTTTTTCGGTCTTACAATGCAATAGTTTAGTAGGAGAGGAGACTCAGGAGAGGGATCGAATGCATGTGCAAAAAGAAGGAAAGCAAAGTTCTTGTAGTTCTGAAGCCAAGCCATACCTATGGTCAAAAGGGATTCGAAATTTTTTATAATCTTCTAATGCGGGACAAAATTTTAACTCGGACATACCACTATATCCAACAATTATCATGTTCGTGTACATTATATAGGAGCTTCACCTTCGAGGGTGAAGGTTTGATGAGTCATTTTAAGTACACAAAATTTGCTATTTTTTTAGGGTAAAGGACCCAGTGGGTGGTGGGCTCGGGATCCCTTGACCTAGGCATTAGTCGACCATCCTTGTGATGCACTATTTTTTTTCTTTCCATATTCTTTTCTACTTGGCGTGCACAACAAATTTCCCTATGAAAATTCTTAGATGGGTTAAATACCTTGCTTTTTTATCACTAGTTTTTACACAACATTTCAGTTTAATTAGTGAGAAACAAATTTAGCCAAATTGGTTATTGTATTATTCAAAAGTTCACAACTTTTTAGTTACTAGGTTTTACACCAAATTTCAATTTTGCCGGTGAAAAGAAAATTTTCGCAAAAAGCCATGCAAATGCAAAACTTTTTGGCAAAAATTCATTTTTGATCCATGTAGTTTATCACTTTTACCACTTTGGTCCCTATAGTTTCAATTTGATAAATTTTGTCCTTGTAGTTTCAATTTGATAAATTTTGTCCCTGTAGTTTCAATTATAAGCAATTCAAAGACAATCCCCAATTTTTTTTGTCAAATTACTCTAATATGGAGGGGCACTTCGATCCAACTTACAGCCCCTCCTCCTCCTCCTCCTCCTAACTCAACCCACTCCCTATCCTATAGCCACGACCCAACTACCTCCACAATCACCTTATCCCCTCCCTCCACAACCACATTTTCCCCTCACTATCTCTCTCTCTCTCTCTCTCTCTCTCTCTCTCTCTCTCTCATCAAACCCCAAAACTAATTACATGTATTGCCTAAAACCTCTCATCATGAACCCAAGATAAGGTAGGGGCTTGAGACTTGAAAGCATATGAAAAGCTACATTAGGGGTTGCTTGGGTGACAAAAAATTGGGGATTGTCCTTAAATTACTCGAAATTGAAACTACATGGAAATTTTTTAGAAATAAACTATATATATGAACATATTTGCCATCAACGAAAACCATTATGAGAAAAATGTCCCTAATATATATAAAGACAGCCACTTATGAGAGTGATTAAGAAAAAAACACCTTCAAGCACAAAATAAACTAAAAATCTAGATGACACGTGATTGGGAAAAAGAGAAAATTAAAATTTCCTTGTAAGCTTTCTTGGGATACAATAGAACCCTAGACACAGGAGAACGACTATTCATGGCGAAGGTGATCATGAAGAACAAGAGATTGGAAATTTGACATATGATTTCATCCTATCTTATAAGCAAATGCAGACAACAATCTAATTTTATTGGTTTGATGATGTTCAGTAACCTAAATAAAGTAGAATAAGTTGCAATTTCATGCTACAATGTGTCTTGTTGCTTCAATATATGTGCATTTATGTTCATACGTCTACGTGTATACTATTCATGGTGGTGATGATAATATTAGTAACCTAAATACCAGGATCACATTCGATAACTCGATTCAAATTTCGAGATAGGTAACGTCCTTGTGAAGCAGAGCATATGACAAACTGCATATCCAGATAGAACCGCACACACAAATAAAGAAGTTATAATATGAGCATGATTAGTAGGACATGGACGACAAGAGAAGACAACTTCATAATATGCTTAAATTTCTGGTCACCATTTCCTGTAATCTGCATTATTTCCTCGCATTGCTTAGATTGAATGATGATATTAAGGTTATCTATATATATATAAAGTAAAAGGCAAAGAATAGAAAAACATTTAAAATATCAGAAAATGCCATTGGTTAATTCAAATATTAAGAATTGAAATTATTAATTAAATGGGGATAATATGGTAAATTCACACTTTTTTGTATTAAAAAAATTAAAATTAAAAGAAAAATTAGATAATGGATCATATTTTTATGGAACACAACTACCTATTATTTTTTTAAATTCTAAAATAAATTTAAAATTTTAAAAAAAAAGCCTCTCGCAAGCGCAGAAGCGCATGCGGAGAGCCTAATATATCTAATTTTAACATTAATATCATAAAAAAATTGTAGGTGTGCAGAAATTATAAAATTTAAACCAATATTATGTTGGCGAGATATCTTAGCCCTATTAGGATATTTCCTTCTTATTCTATTAGGATTTTATTTATTTCTTTTTGTATAGATAATTAGAACTTAATGGAGGGGAACCAATAGGAGAAGAAAGATTACCAAGTGTGGAGGCCCTTACATCACGTGCTGAACTGGGTAGTTCTATAGGCAATAAAAATGAATTAGACTTGGAATTAATTGGAGCCTGCATTATGGGAGAGACAGAGAATGGAAAAGTATGCTCATGAAATCGTGCATGTCTCGAGATATAAATCCTGCCAGTTTGTTGATTCAAGCAACGGTAACCATGATGATTTGGACTATATCCCAAGAAGACACATTCACTCTAAGGTCTAATTGTTGATGTTAATTTTTTTCATTTGAAGAAGTTTTTGTTAATTAAATCATCAATTTTTTTATATACAATTTGAAACCTTAGGGGGTTTTTAGTGTAATTTCTGAAACATCAAGAGTTTTGAAAAAACATCAAAAACCTTAGGAATGTTATTGTAAATAACTCTACCTAAAACAATATGCAGTGTCATTGAGTAACAATTCATAATGGGCTAAGAATGTCTTGCTCAGTTTAGTAAAAAGGTGGGATCCCTTAGTAGAATGGCCTTGATATTATATAACATTTTAATTGTTTGTTTCATTTAAAAGATAGTGATCAAAGATGAATTTTAATTTTAATTTCTAGTACATATATACTGGTGTGCCCCAATAAGAAAGGAGCTATAATTTGGTATGAATTTAAAATACTCAAATAGAAATTTCTTGCAAAAAAAATGACACTTATAACGCAATATATGCGATGAATACAAATTTCATTCACGGTGATCCTAATTTGTTCTATAAGAAAGTCCATTATTTGTTGACGAAAGTATGTGGCAAAGCTTCTGCAAAACAAGATTTGTATGCTCATTACAAGTTACGGCTTGGGTTGTAAATCTTGAATACGATTTATGATGTAGCTCAATGTACTGGTGATTTTTTTGGCATATTATGGTAGTTGTTATCTCATATTCGAACTTTACTCATTTATATTAGGTTGAACGGTTGAGGATGAAGAAGATGATTCAACCATGCAATCAGATTACTTAGAAGTTGTGTTAAAAACTTTATAGGTAGCGTGGTTCATTGTAACTAAATGGTAACGTCCAAATTGCTCTTTTCCATTGGGATTTCCTCATATTAGGAGCCTGTCATTTGCTATTGAGATTAGGGGTGGGCACTCAAACCGGCGAACCAGAAATCCGAGCCGAACCGCACCGAACCAAACCAGAAAAAAAAAAACCGAGTTGATCAAAAAGTCAACAACCAGTCAAAAATCGAACCGGACTGGTTTGGACCGGTTTGGGATCCGGTTCCATGTCTTCAAAAATCAGACCGGGCCGAACAGAACCGATCAAATTAAAAAAAATATATAATTTCAATATATATTTATATTTAATTTTAAAAATTATATTTATCCAAGTTCAATTTCAAAATATCTCTCTTTTCTAACTTTAATATTTATTTTTATATGAAATTGAATAATATTTGTTAAAAAAAATAATATTTCAGTTGAGAATTGTATTAAAAATAATTTTTTTTTAAATAATTTTTATAATCTGGTTCAAAACCGAACCGGACAGTTTTTGAATTTTTTTTTATTTAAAACCGAACCGAACCAAACTGGATGAATAGTATCAGATCGGTTCTAATTTGAGGCAAAAACGGGTCCAAACCGAACCATGCCCACCCCTAATTGAGATACTTTACCAAGGCCCGAACAATGATGGATCCTATACCAGTTAAACTCATCCTAACTCTTATGAAATACTAACTCTTTTTATTTTTTAATACTTTTTTCTATACAATAAAAGAGAGTGTAAGTAGATAAAAGATGAGTGGGAAAATTAACTCCCTATATTTTTAAGTAAAAAAACTATTTACCATGGTCATCGAATAATTGGCTTTTCTAAAGCATTTTTATTAAATGGAAAAGATTTAATGATACTCACTTAACGAAATAAGATAGGTTGGTGTGGGATAAAAAAAGAACATAATGACACGTAACAAAATTCAAAAGTACACTCTCAAATCCAAAATATAGGCCTTTACCATAGGTATGGGCCTTGATAAAATTAAGGAAGGAAATTGTAAGTTTCTGTGGGCCAACAGACAACAATAAAAATGTGTAACCTCTATGTGGGTGGACGTTTAAACCAATAAATTAGTTAACCGAGCTAAACTGAGTCGAAAAGTTGAAATCTAGACCAGTTTGTTATCACTTTTTGCCACTTAAACCGAGTCTAATTTTCTTTTATTTTTTATTTTTTTTGTATTGTAAAGAGTCGAAGCTCAACTATACTACTAATGTGCCTTGGAGTATTATTTCGCAGGTGAAAGATGTATCTCTCCTCATTTTGCACCCGACTATACTACTACTGATGGAGCAAATATGAGTTTAATCAAGTTGACTAGAACAAATATGCTCCTCATTCTGCACCCGACTTCGAATCCCCCTCCTCATAATTTAGATCATATTAAAATAAAATATCACTTATGTAAAATAAAATAAAAATATGATGGAAAGTTGGACCATGCACATGAAGAGAAGCTCACCGAGACAAATTTTAATGCAAGTCCGTGAACTTTGGTTGCCAGGTTGGGAATATCTATAAAAAGGACACAAGAGCGACAAAGGAGCATCTGGTTTTATAGTCGGCCATTGGCTGGCACCAATGTATTGCCATTGATAGTTACATTCACACATTTATGACACTTACTCAGTCTGATCGTAACACCGCCTCATAATAAAATATGAGCATACATACATACATACATACGGACACGAATTTAGTAGCTGAGGATGAACACGCATGATATTGTATATCCATAGCTAGACAGCATTGATAGCAATCTTCATCCCAGACTCGCAATGCCCTGGGAAATTGCATATGAAGTAGTTTTGTCCCCTCCCTAGCCTTATTCGGTCCTTTCCAGATTTAAACACCTTTGCACCATTCGGAGTTGTGCAGCTGCTGTAGCCACCCTTGTCCACAGCTACCACATTGTGTAGTGTTGGATCATAGTTGAATACTGCAAATTCAAGTAATTATTTGCGCTGCAAAAATATATAAAATATATGTCTGGACCCAGTTTTTCTAAATAATTCCTCCATACTTGTTCTAAACAATTCCTCAGGCAAAGTATAAAATGTTTGGACCCATTTGGTATGGAATTGAGAAATTGTTCGTCGATTTAAGAAACAAAAGGTAAACTTTAAAAGCAGAATTTATCTTTAATTACTATGATTATGGTTCTTTTTTTCTTTTTGTAAAATAAATATTTAAACTACTAAAAAATCAACTCCTTAATTCTTATAATTTTCAGAAATATCATCTTCAATTCAAAGATCTAAATTTTGCAGAAAAAAAAAAATTCATAGAAATTTTTCTTTATATTTGGAATTTGTCCTACTTTTCTAAAATTATATGTTTTCACATGGATCTAAATATTTCTAGTACTAACTAAGAAATGAAAAATAATTAATTAAATAACTAGAAATTATTATTTTTATTCAAGATATACATATGACAGCTGCTTAAGGGCTTTAATAAAGTTTCCATACAACATGCCTATTTGAAATCTAATCAAATGGCAGATATTATGGCTAGACGAAGTGATGCGTCTTCAGCTACTCGTGTTTGGTTTGAAAATTTTTCAATGATTGTTATACATAGCTTACATTTTGATTCATATGGTATTAAGATCTCTCGAGGGTAGGTCAGAAACTTACAAAGCACATCGCCGGCTCTAAATTGCTTTCCATTGGGCCAGCTATCTGTGTTGAAGCTCCAGCCACCAGACTCTCCAACCTTATAAGTGGCTGCGTTGCTGCATCCCAGCTGAACCATTAGGCATAAAACTACCACCACTCCTATGGTTCCTGCACTGCCTCTTCCCTGCTCAGACATCTTACAATCTCAAACACCAGAGCAGATCAGCTCAGCTTTTTGTTCATGAACCAAAAAAGGCCCCAACCTAGCTTTATATACGAGGGTTTCAAAAGCTGATTTGTATTTTAGCTGCTTGCTTGAAAATGATTGAACGATGGCAAAGACAAGGTGATGACTTTTGGGACATGGCAAACAGCTCTGCATTATTAATCTGAGGGTCTGAAGAGAAGTGATTGTATACCCAAAAATTAACGTGTTTACAGCATAAGTACTCACGTGCATTTTATGTAGCTCACCCGTGAACGTTTGCTGGGACCATATAAACCTTTTCTCCTGCTATTTTATTTTTCTTTTATATTTATTTTTCGATTAGAACTTGGAAGCTGAACTTTCTTTTCTTTTTCTTTTGCGTATTCAAGTTTTTTATCAATTACACTTTGAACCACAGTGGTTTGGGGTTAGAATTTCATCGGTAAATTTTTTTTTTATTTTTTCTATACAATTAATATTGGAGAGAGGAGATTTAAAAATTGACAAAAATAACGTTTAAAATTATGATTCTTACAATATATATCAGCTCAATTTTAATTTACATATATGTCACATCGATCACGGACAGACATATGATATACAACAACAAATAAGAACATTTTATAGGAAAATTCTTAACCTTTTACATAAATTAAAGGCATGAAAGAGACCCCCGCGGCATCAATTTGTTGTCAGTGTCGATACAAATACATACTGGCTCGTAAAAAAATAGTGGTTACCTTGATAATTTGACGGTCAAAGAGGCCAATTGTATAAAAATTTGAAACATTACTAAGGCTTGTTTTTGCTAAGTAGTAAAAGATAAGGACCTAACTATTAAATACCGTAAACGATAGGGGTTCGAAATGTACGTGGCTTCAATAAGATCCATTTAAATACAACCCACAAGAATTGTGGACTCTCTTCTAACCAAAACCATTTTTCTTTTTTTTTGGTTTGTCAGTTTTTGAAAGTACTGTATGAGAAAAATTTGGTCTTATAAAATCGGCTTATAAGAGGAGTGCTTGAGAGTTCATATAGTATATGAAGATTTCGTATTGTGAGATATAGTATCCTAATAATTTTTTGTACGAAGGACGTAGGTGAGAGGTGATATGAAGATTTGATTTCATAGGTTCCACTACATCATTCTATATGAGGTAATTTAAGGATCTGTTTGATATCCTACTTAAATCCAATTTTATAAACTCAAAAACAAATTTGAAGTCCAAAGCCACAAAAACCCGTTTGGTAGGCCTATTTTTAAAAACTCAAACTCAAGAAAAACACCCATTATTAAAAATAAAAAAAGTGAGGGTTTTTTTTTTCTCTCTCTCTCATCTGGCTGCCGTCTCTTTCTCTCTCCTCCCTCTCTTGTCTCTCTCTCTTCCTTCTCTCGTCGTCTCCCTCTCCACCCTCTCCCGTCTCTCCCTCTCTCTCTCTCTCTCTCTCTCTCTTTGGAAATTTAGGGTTTCTAATTTTTTGATTTTAATTTCAATTTTTTTAGCTCATAAAAATAGTTTGGAGTTTAATATCAAACAAGTTTTTAGATCTTAAAATCACTATTTGAAAATTCATATTTTTAAAAAGAATCATAATTTTAAATTTATTTTTTTGAATAGGATATCAACCGGGCCTGAATTTCCGAGGCGCACATTATCTGGTTTTCTATTTCTTCTACTATATATACTTTCTAGGAAACAATGCAATTTTATTGACACCAAGTCTGGCCATAAGTACCAATTCGAAAGTACCATTCCAAGTCACAGACACTAATTGTTATTTTTCCGACCAAAAACAAAAATAGGCCACCAATTGTTATTTTATATGTTTTGGTACAAAAGAAGGCCAGAGGCCCAAATACGAGAAAACTAACCCAATACATTCCTTGGCCGAGTTATACAACAAATATTACAAAAAGCCTAGAATCCGCAGGGAGGAGGAATGGAAATTGTACAGCACATTCTCAAGGGTGAGGCTTAAATTGGCAAACGAGGGCAGCCCTTATTGCAAGAGACGTATCATGTGAACTAATTTGACATTATTTTATTTGTTTTTATTTGAGCTCTATTTTAGATTTCTTTTCACAATAAATGAGAAACTGTCATATCACATGTTACATCAGTTGGTAACTAAAAATTAAAACAACGATACATTTACTAATTTTATAAACACAACATCATTTTGTCGCTAATTTTTCCACTCTTCTAGTTCCGATCATTTTTTTGTCAATTTGACATTTTTCCGTATTCATGCTATGTGAACAATTTGTTTTATATTTATTTTTTAAACTTTGAGGGGAAGATTCTTCAAGAAAAGATCTAGACTCTTACCAAGTAAATTGCTTTGCTAATTGAGTAAGGCGACCCCACTTAAAAAAAAATTTATTGTGATTTAGGGTTAAATAGTTGGGAAAAGCAAAAGTTAAGAGTTCTAGAAATTGCTCTATACTTTTGTGTGGTTGATGGTGGATGTCTTTGCTTTGTTACAATTTCATTTGACTGAGTCCCGCGGTTAGAGTTAGAGTGTTGCTCCTCAAGTTTGGAAACAAAGGAAAGACAGGCTTCCCACCTAGCCAATCCCTTCATTGTCCCAAATTAGTTTTGTGTTTAAATTAAAAAATTAAGAATCATAATCCAAGGAATTGCAAGTCATGTAAGTCCGTCTTGATGTAATTAACAATCATGACTAATCAGATTAGCACTAAGTAAACCCAATACATTGGCCTAGTCAAATATGGTGGCTTCTTGATTCAATGAATATTACATGAGAAGAAAAAAAATATAGTGGACATATACATATACCAAAGCAGAGCAGACATTCTTGTAAAGGGGTCAATCAATGAAAGGCTCCTGAAAAAAATTAATTAAGTCGTAAAACAAGAAAGACATGGAAGATTAAGGGAGCAAATGGTTTTCCATGCAGTAACATCATGCAACTAATTCTGGCTACCTCAGAGGAAGACCTATAAATTATGCCAATTTTCAATGGAGCATAAGTTCAATTATATTGTACGGTTTTATTTATATATATCTCTAGAGAGAAAATTAAGCAATGGCAGATCAGCAAATAACTCACAAATGTAATGGTTTGTAGTAATTGTTCATCAGGAAAAGACATGGGTTCAAGTCCTAGCATCTGTGTAGTGTGAGTGAGTTTAGTATTCAGGAAAAGTCATGGATTCGAGTCTTGCATCTGTGTTGTGTGTATGAGTTTAGTATTCAGGAAAAGTCATGAGTTTGAGTCTTAGCGTCTGTGTAGTGTGTGTGAGTTTAGTATATTATTGCCCCTCTCAATAGGAAAGGTTATGAAGAAAAAAAAATTGTGGCAGATTAAATGGCACATGTGCACAAATTAATCCTGACTATTTCCCACTGAATTCAGAGTAAAACACAAAAAGTAAGTTTCAAGTCTTCTGTGGAAATTCATGCATCACATCACTGGTATGTACAGTTTCAATATTGATGGCAAAGTTTAAAATTTCAAACTTTCTTTTTGATAGCTATATTTTTCAATGGCATTATATGGATTAATTGCTTGGCTGACAGATCTACTTCTTTTAACTTCACATGCAACTTATAGTAAAAAAAAAAACAAAACAAAAGGAAATTAAAAATTGGATCCCAAAGAAGATTTGAAGACTTTGATTGCACAATTGGACATATGAGAAAAAGGAAAATATAGACATAATAAGTTAAGGACTAGTAGCTGTAAGGGTTTGCAACTTGCCTTAAGAGTGTGCCTAAAATGAGACTTCAAAGAAGGATGACTTTAACAAGTATGAACTTCTTTTCTGGAAAAATATGCAGAGATTTTTCTAAAAGTGATTTTCACTGCTAAAGTGAAAAGATCAAAGAGTAAAAGATGCAGGTGCCTGCAGGTTCCAGTTGAAAACTATGAAAATGCCATTCTGCTGATGAACATCAATGTAACTTGTCCCAAAAACTATACATACAGCTAGCAACCAAACCAAATCCTCTGTCAGAAAGAGGCAAAATTCAGCAACTACAAGCTGCAGGTGCAGCTTGCATGGAGTATTTCAAGCCTCATGATTCATAGACCAATTGAAATGCTAATCCTTTTTGCTACCTGGCATTGATTGAAATGAGACAAATAATATAAAAATCTCACCAACAACTTTTATTATCCTTGAGGACAAAATATTAAAGATTTGATTCTTAAAGCCTCAAGCCTAGAGAATATATCATTTGGATTCTTGCAACTACATACTAGAGAGTATGTATAGGTCATAATATATTAAAACTATTACATATATATCCTAAACATCTGCATGCCCTTCTCCCTCTTAAACTACAACAAAGTTTCAAAATAGATAGAAAGAGAAAGATTAAATTAAATGTGCTTAATTTGGTGCACGATTATTAAGAAGAGATCCCCACACCAAGAAAATCAATGAAGGGAGTTTCCTTGTGATGATCGATCGATTCGTGATCTTGGCAATCATGGTCGCCAAATTTAGCTGTGGCTGCAACCCTCCATTTTGCCAATGTTGATGCATTGTCACAAAAATTAGCCAACTCTTTCTTGAATGTCCTTCCATGTTGCTCAGGACGATTAATGTGATCACCAAGACCCAGGCACCCAAAAGGACTTGGAACATTAACCCTCTTGTAATTTGGAAGCCCAAATGCACTAGTGGAACCTATGTAGCTGCCATACATGAATGAAGAAGTAGTCGGGTTATTTCTTCGGTGAACGAATTGATGATCCAAACCTTTCGAGCACCCGGAAATGTTGTTGTTAGAACTAACATTGTTGAAGTAATCTCTTCTTTCCCTTCCCAATAAACCAACTGAAGATGATGCGGCGTTGTTTGAGGTTGTCGACATTGTAGCAAAGTTCCAATTGTAAGGGGAAGAACTAGCATGCCTTGAGTCCATGAACATTGTTGTCCTATCTTTATTTGGGTTTCGGAATTCGAAGAACTTAGTGCCACTATTCTGATCAAACCCAATTGATGATGAAGATCTCAATTCCCCTTGAGATTTAAATTTCCTGCTTACATCAAAATTGTTGGAAATTGAGGAGGTGTTTGATGAGTGATCATTACAGAAATCTTGGTAGCTTCTCTTCCCACAAACTTTGGACTGCTCTCTTTGTCTTCTTGCCATTATAACATGCCAATGATTCTTCACAGCA